TGACATCCTTGTTCTCATCATCGCCCACAAGTGTTCTGCTTTCATATTGAAGAATTCTGAAATGTCTCTATGCCACTATCACTTGCTTTTCTGTTCTCTCTCCCTATGCCCCACCCCTCCTAAACCTGTTCTTCATCCTCCATACTTCAGTGTTCACCTAGGCCATCATCCTGGCTCTGGCTTCACTTTTCTCCTTTCCCATTCTTACCGTATGCTACCCTCTCTTGACCCTCATGCCTTGTCGCACCCTAACCCTGGACTACCCGTCAACCTCCTCTGCTTCTTCTCTAGTACACCAACACTTCCAGGGACGTGTTCCTGGAACACTTCCCATTGAGGACTGAGGCTGCCCCCTGGCCACTTTTGTTGGGGGGGAGGGAAGATAAGGCTTTAGCCTTCTGATGGAGGTAATGCTTCTAGTTGGTCTCCACAGGCAGCTGCAAGCACCACCCACTCAACAAACTTCAAAAGGAGACAACTTCTGTTCTCATTCTTTCCTGAATGTGTGATTTGAGAATCCAACAGTTTTCCTTTGGGCTTTTCATGACGGAGGTGGGGAGGATTTCTTCACTTCCTGACCCTGACACCTATGACACTAAGAGCACATGTTTTAGGTAAGTTGAAGACCAGCTTTCATGGTCTCAGCACCTTCTTCTGCTTTGTATCTTTCCCTGAGCACAGGCGACTATGACCTTGAAAGATGGATTTCTCTAGACTGATGGCTACTTCAGAAGTCTGGGAGGGGGTGAGGTGGGGGAAATGCTAAATGTAGTTACAATTCTTCTTAGAAGAAAGGATGACTATTAGGCAGGATGATGAGCCAATTATGCCCTAGCCAGAGCCAGAGCCAAATAAGAAAAAGCCTGACTCTTCTCCTTCAAAATTCTTCAGACTTCCCTTAGAACTGAACCTGGTCAGTCCATATCACTTGGTGAAAGAGGATACTCCAGTCCCCTGGATCAGTAGATGTTACACTTACATGTTGTCTTCCCTGTTAGAATGTAGGGTCTTTCATGAACGAAAGTGTTTTCTTTTTAATCTTCTATCTCCAATGCCTACCATAATGCTTAGCACATTATACGGTATGTCCTTAAATGCTTACTGATTGACAAAAGAAAAAAAAGTTCATTATTGGGCCTTCCCTTTGCCTAAGTAAATATTTCGGATAAATTGTGATATTCAATCCTCAAGAATAAGGCTTATGATACAAAATGCCAAAATGTGATTAACAGTTACTCCCCTAAAGTCAGTCAGGCAAGGAAACTGAAACAAAGAACCACTGAATGTTCTAATCTATAGTTTCTGTTCAGGGCTTCCCATTGCTGCTAAATAAAAATATTAAAATAAATGGGATAGGGGCAGCTAGGTAGTGCAGTGGATACAGCACTGGCCCTGAAGTCAAATCCAGGCTCAGACATTAGCTGTGTGATCCTGGGCAAGTCACTTAACCTCAATCGCCTCCCCCCAAAAATAACAAAATAAAATAAATGGGATAATAAGTAAAATCAAGTGTGAACTGATATCAAAGGAGAAGTGTAGTATATTCACAGAATTATTTCAACCTTTGACACACAAAAGGTACTATAACTATTTGATGTGGCAGAAACATATCACTGCCATTATCAGTATCTCCCAAGCTCCAGTCTCCTTTTTAAAAGTCCATTCTTCTCTGCTTACCTACATACTTATCCCAAAATAAATGTTTAATTACCAAAGACTCTCAAACAACATACTTGGAATTGTCATGTAATAGGGATAGAGACTGAACCTGGGATTTCATTAGTTTAGTGAGGAAAACTATAAGATAAGGAACCTTCAGACAACTCTGGTCAAAACCTTCTCTGCAACTTACAGTCTTAAAGAGTCTGCCTAAAGCACTGAAAGAGAGGTTAAGTGCCTTGCCAAGAGTCACAATGCCAGTACATGCCAGACTCAGGCCTTGGGCTCAGGGATTCCTGGCTCCAAAGCCAGTTCCCTACTACACCCCACTGCCTCCCACAATGTAATAAAAATTAATGTTGCCATAAACAAAGCTTCAGTTTCGAAACAAGTGACATGTTGACATTTCTCCTTCATTCACAGTCAGACCCATAGAGGAGGAAAAGCTTATTCGCTTAGTCTCAGTGTCCATGTAAGACAAGGTAGATCTGGGGGGGTTATTTGTGATTCCTTGGACTCAATAGTTAAAACACTTTGGGACATAATTGGAGAAATACCTTGGCAATCCCTTTTTATGTGGATAAGGAACTGGAGTTGGACTGGGCCTCAAGTTAAAGGTCTCCTTTGTGTCCAAGGATTTTTCTAGATGATTTAATCATGCTATTATTCCCATACCTTTAATGGTAGGAATGCTCTGGTCACTTTTTCTTCCAGTTCTGCTAGTCACTAGAAAGGAATTAATGAATTATGAGACCAAATTAAAAATAATTATTACAAGGTATTGCATATATAAGCAACCACTTGAGGCAGATTATCACTTTTACCTAGCAACCAGTTTTTCAGTGTCTTTAAAAAAAATTCGTAAGAGGAGAAAAACAAGGGGAAAAGTGACATAAGAAACAAAGAAGGTAATTGATGAGTAAATATGCTTCCTACCTTTGGGCAGAAAGGTGATAAACTAAAGGTACAGAATGAGACATTTTCAGACATGGTCAGTGTGTGAATTTGTTTTGCTGACCACACTACTTTGGTACAAGGGAAAGCTTCTATGTGGAGGAGAGGATAGGAGATTAATGGAGAGTTGGTGGATAGTAAGAAAAATACAAAAAAGGGAAAGGAGGGTTAATAAAATTAACAAAATACATAGAAGATAGTATAAGCAAATTCAGAATAGAACACAAACTAGACAGTTTTGTTACTATAGTGTTAAATTTAATACACACTTTAAAAAACCAAATATACTTAACTAAGTATGTTTTTAATACACACTTTAAGAAAAACAAACTATACAATGAAAGTTCACAATTTCATACATGATCATCTTTTTCTGTTCTTTGAACACTGAGATATTCAAGTCTGTTTAATGATTGCTAAGTTCATAATAAAAAGAAAAAATTTTTTTCAAATGGCAGAGGTGCTGAAAATATCAGCACTAATAGATGTACCTAAATAGCTTTAAAACACTGCTTTGGAAGTTTATAGCATGCAGTTAAGAAATTTCAAATTGAATGGAGTAGTCTCATGCTCTTCCTTCTGCCAAAAAAAGGACTAGATTGGAGACTTTGGGTCACTACATAATCAAATCAAACTTGGTTATGTAAGGGCTCTTTAAGATCACCTAGTGAAATCTCATTTTTATAAAGTAATTAACAAATACTTTGAATTAAAAAATAATGGAGGTAAACCATCATGTTGCTTTGTTCTTTTTGAACATTCCATCGTCAAATGTTCCTTAGTAGACAAAGTTAACCATGGACTTCGTGCAAGATACTGAAGTTTTTCAATTGTGTAGGCAGGTGGTTTGGCATCTGATCTGTTTTGGCTTCTCTCAGTAATAAGTAAAAACTCCTGTGGGTTTATGTTGGGTTATGAAGAAAATGCATATGTCATTTAAAGCACCAATTTTTTGTTTCCTTAAAGTTACTAAGGATGTTTGTTCCCTTAATGACAATCATTATACATTCAATGTAAAAAAAAGATAAATGTAAATCACATCTAATAAAAACACGGCAAAAAATAAGCCTTTCAGTACTCAAAAATATGTTTGTAAAACCTTCAAGATGGAAAGCAAATTAAATGTCAATTATTAAAAACTACCTGTAATACTTTAAGATCATAAATGAGTTTAATCTGGGCATAAACCATTACAAAATTAAGAACTTCAAGCATTCTCTTTATTTAAGATAATTTAATAATCAGCAAGGGAGTATTCCTCTCTTCCACAGATAGACACTGGGCTCCTGAAAACAAAGTTGGTAATTTAGCACAGTATCTAGGACACAGTGGGCTTGTTAATTGATTGGTTTAGACCAGAAACGTAAGACTTTAACGTAACTGGCCACTTTAGTGCTTGTTTCTGGCGACTATAACTTGGTATTCGCTACTGCACCTCACTCAGAAAGACTAGCCTAAAAGGAAGAATATATTTCTTTTAGCTCCTGTTCTACCGGAGCCACCTGAAAGGAGGAGTAGTTATGACTTCCCAAGACTGATGGTGAAACACGCCTCTTGCTTCTCAGCAGGGAGGTGATGAGCCCGAGACAAGGGCTGAGGCACATGCATTTTCAGATCTCATCACTTATTTGTCACAACGGAGAAGGCTCTATGAGAGTCAGTGGAAATCAACAAGGCTGCTTAAAAAAAAAAAAAGCATCAATGAAACATTAAGGGGAAAAAATAAGCTGAAATGAAGCTGCTATTCAGAGAAAACGCAGACGACCTCAGTCAAGAAGAGAACTCTTCTTCCCAGTTCTCTTTTTGGTTCGGGTGACCAAAATGGTACTTTCCAGATGACTAAAATTTTCAGGACGATGGTCCAGGATAGAAAGAAAAACACTTTTTACTTAATAATGTACAACATTAAATACCACAATGATTCATCCTTTCAAGCATTGGTACCCTGTCTATTCTCTGTTACACGTAGAGTGTTCAGGGATATAGGGAACCTATTACACAGTCTATTTCACAGGTGTCTTCAGGTATGACCCCGTTCCTGGTCTCTCCTACTGCTTATAGGGGCTCTGGTTCAGAGGGAAAGGTTCCCTCCAGAGCTTCAAATGCACTGGCAAGAAATCGAGACCGATCAGGACTACAATCCCCAGAAGGCATCTCGGGCACCTCAGCATCCGGGGCAGTCACCGCACGGGATGCCTGGGAGTTGTGGTCCTTTCCCTCGTTGGAAGTCCCCATCCACGCTAGGATTGGACTGGCGTAACCGACCACAACTCCCAGAAGTCCGCTCAGCTTCACGGGGGTGCTTCACGTTCTCATGGCGCGACGCAGGCGCACTCGGACCTCGGCGCGGACCGCGCAGACTGAATAATAAAAGGGGAGCGGCGAAGAGGGAGGAAGACAGGACCATGTCGAAGGGCCCCGGGCCTGGCGGCTCCGCGGCTTCCTCGGCGCCCCCGGCCGCCACCGCCCAGGTGCTGCAGGCGCAGCCCGAGAAACCGCAGCACTACACGTACGTAGAGCCCCCCCGCCGCGCGCGCACGCTTGACGTCAGCGGCTAGCGTGAGTCACGCGCGCAGGGAGAGCGCGAGGCGGCCTCTACCCAACCCTCCTCTTCTTCTACCCCCTCCCCCTCCTTTTCTGGCCGGGCCTAGACCGGTTCCAACCTGATGGGGCCAGTCCCAACCGCCTCCAACTGCCACCAACCGCCATCCGGGCCAGAGGGCGGGAAAGTCGGGTTCATTCCCCGCGGGGTTGGCAGGGGCGCAGGATGCGGTGACACACACAGATTGAGCTTGGCCTGGCCATCGAAGCCTAACTATCCCCCCGGCCCTTCAGGCTCCCCCTCTTCTTCCCCCCAGTCCTGGGTCTTGACTTATGTGCAACACGACGCCCGGAGACGCGCTGAGGGAGCCTGGCCCCCGGAAGTCATTAGCAGCTTGTGTGCCCCTCGGTCATGGTCAGGCGGGTCTAGGTCTAACTGCATGCAGGCCCGGTGGCGGTGCCGTCGCCAGCACCTAGTATTCGCATAAGCAAACAAACCCTCGTGGAGCATGCCCTCCCCCCAAGTGACAGTGACACAAGGTGGGGCCCTCAGGTGGCACCCACACCCACGTGAAGCACATGCACAGCTCGGTCACGGCAGGGCATCCCAAAACACAGTCTTCCTCAGGCTACTACTGCAGACTCGGGAGCACGAGCTGCTGAGTCGTTTGGGTAATCCCAAGGAGCCAGGGGGACGTGCCATGCAATGCATACAGAGGCGGCCCTGCAATTAGCAGTATGGGAGGTGGGAAACCTCCGCGGAGGCTGGGAAAGAAACCTGAGGTTCTTAGAAGCATGCAGGGAGGGTCTGGCTTTAAGGAAAGCACCCCTAGTCCACCGTCCCCCACGCCTAAGCCTAAGGTTGTGGTGGTTGTCCCAAAGCCATCCATCCCCACGGCCGTCAGAGTTTTGCCTATTGAAGGGGAGCTTCCAAAGCCGCACATTCTGGTGCCTTTGGAACCGAGCCTTAAGCAGCTGCCCGGCAGGGACAGGGAGCGAGCACCTTGTGCAGCTGAAGGAACCAAGCCGCAGGTAGGGGGGACGCTTGGCTCGCTCCTGAACTCAGAGATGAGGCTTGTTGGGGACCAAGGGAAGCAGTTGTTAGGCGCTGTCTTGGTGTCTTTTTTGGGAAATTCTGGTGCTTTGGTCCGAAGCTGGTGATGCAGCCTTGATTACGGGGCCAGACTTGGGCTAGACTGGAGCCATGGTGAAAATGAGCCCTGCCACCTTTGTTTACCCTCTCATTCTCACTGGAGGCCTGTTTTTTATAATCTTTGATTCTCTCCAGTAGTAGTGGTAGTGGCTTTACTGTTGATGAATTCCAGAAAATAATACAGAAATGGGTGATAACCAGCAAACTTAATGGATTCTTTTGCTTTGGAAACATGCAAAATCCATAAAAGTAAACTTTTGAAAATGATCTTTGGTTGCTTGGATTTAGTTTTGCAATGGAATACATAGAACCCCAGAAAGTATTTTGGGTAGTCTGAGGAATCACAGTCTGTGTTTCTGTTATATTGTTAGCAGTTTCTAAAATCATTAGGGCAGAGAGTTGCTTTTTGGGGTTATCTGTTGAAACAGAAGTAATCAACTATTATAAATCACTGTAAATGTAAATACATGAGTGTACTGAATTGCTGCTGATGACTAATTGGATCATTTTGTCTTTTTGCTGCTTATTTTAAAAGCCTGTGTGTCCAAATCAGTAATTGAAAGCAGATGATCAATTGTCTTTGAAAACAGAGCATCCTGTGCTTTGGTGGTATGTCCTTAAATCAACCAGAGAAGATAGGACAGACCATGGTTGGTTAGTATTTGGAAGTCATGGATGCATTTGTCCCAGTGGCTCCTTTCAAAAGTCTGCCTTCAGAAATCAGAGATGTGAGCTCAGGTGTGATAATTTTCAAGACCAGATTTAGACTTTCAACCCTTACCTTTCCTGTCCTGTGAAACTGGGCATGTGAAACGACTCATGGGCATTGTGGGTGTCAGTGTAAATTGTGAGGGGGAAGAGAAAACTAAGAATGCCTTGGTTTTGATGTACATACAGTATTTACATTTCAAACTGGAGACTGCTTTCACTTCATTCCTCACATCACAGATTTCAGATTGGTTTCCATTATGGAAAAAATCCTTGTCCGTTTCAGCTGATTGTTTGGATTTTCTTTGAGAATTTGGGTTAGTCCTGCTCTGAAGGCTTGCCCATTCTCATTTGCAGTGATATGGTCCTCTCTCTGTCTGGGGAAAGAAGAGTTTGCTATAAAATTAGTTCTCATCTTTCTAAGTGTAGGCTACTTCAAGGAGCACCAGTGACACATCCCCTTTATATCCACAGAAGCAAAAGAAGCAAAGCAAAGTTGCCTAGAGTTGACTTTTTTTGGGGGGGCTTGCTGCTGGGGTTTGTCCATTCTTGTACTAAGGTGCTTTCTTCGTAAACCTAGCTAGAGGTTCAATTTCAACAAAATAGTTTGGAGGATTTTGGTTTTCTCTGTTTTTAATAAGTATTCATTCCTGTTTTGGAAGAAGTTTTTAATGTAGCATCTAAACACACCCCATTAAAGTTTGGGCACATAGCTTATCAGAGAGTAAGCCTTTAGAGTTGTCTCTGAATCTTTTCAATGTACAATGTTAAATACTTTTCTCAGTGCTCAGTAAATTATCAAGAACACCAATAATGATAATGCTTTTTCACAACCAGAAACTGTGCCCCCACTACCTAATTTGCTAGATTGACTATAAAGTTGGTCTTTTATTGGGCAAGTGCAGACAGGTCTGTAAAACAGTTTCAGCTCATTCAAAACAAATCCATCTTGTGCTAGTACAATATATTAGAGGATTGGAGTAAAAGTAAGATGAAAATGTGAAGTAATTGAAATGTTTTTTGGAATTGTAACATTTACTCTAAGTTTGTTTTTATCTCCCTCATGAAGGATTTTGCTATTTTAATTGTATGGTTAAAAGTTTGTTGTTGTTGTTTTAAATAAGAAGGTCATAAAAGGAAGCCCTTTGAAAAACAATTCAAGTTTCTGGCCTTCTTATATGTAATTTTGGCATTCAAAAGTGATGAAAACTGTACTTCATGATGGATTCTTTCACGTATTTTTAATGCAGAGAGCATTTCATTTTTGTTAAGTCTAGCCCAAGTTAGACTGATTGTGCTCTTGAATTGCAAAGGAAAATGAAATCTAGCTCAATGTGATTTTTGGCCATTGGATATGTTTTCATATTGGACCCAGAGAGTAAATGTTGTTGACAGTCTCATCTAGTCAGACTCCATTTTCATTTAAGAATGTCATTCAGGCACTTTTTAATGAGGATAGGGTAGCAGTAATTCTGTAAGGTGGATGCTTTGAATCAGATTTGCTAGCATCTGTGCATATTAATGTCATGAACTCTACTTAATTTCATCTGATCATGTTTTGGAAAATCCAGTTTTCTTGGGAAATCACTTTTAAAATGTTATTGCAAACTACAGAAGTATTCTAAGTTTGTACTCTGGAGAGCAACTTGCTGCATACAGAATAATTTGTCATCTTAGAACTAGTACTTAACCACCTCAGTGATGGTGAGTCAAGTTGCTAATAAAGAATTATGGAGGTCAATCACTGGTTTGAAAGCAACTTCCTTACATGATATAAATTAAGAATTCAGTTTGATCTTTAGTCAGGTACCCATAGGGTCTATTAATAGGAGTTAAATGCCCATATCAAGGAAAAATAGGCTCTTAAGAATAGTACTTATCTGCTATAATCTAAATTAATGATTAAAGTCAAGATTTGCTTAATGGTTAAGTTTTTTTGTTTTAATCCAGCTATGTTAGATACTAAAGAAGGCTTCCCCACAATCCATATGCATCTGCTTTGACTGATGGTTTCTATCAACCTTCAAAAGACTGTGACTTATTGGTGAGGGCAGCTGGACAACTCTCAGAACAACTTAGAGAAATCCACCATGGGCACACTCTATAAAGGAGCTCCTTCTCTGGAAAGTAGCGCCCCAGATAAGTGCACAAAAGCAAGACACCCTCGTGGACCTACTTCCTCCCGCTTTCAACACCCTGATGCCTGAAGGTGAGGTCTCCTTCCTGTGTGTCTTAGAAGCCATGAGCACACTTTGAGAATTAAAGCCATAGGGAGAGCCTGGGCGAACCACAGTTGCAGTCTTTCCACCTAGGGTCTTAGGTAAAGGTTGTTTTTCTTGTTAGCAGAGAATCTAGATCTGAAGATGGTTAATGTAGGGATACATAACTCTGAGATACGGACTGGTCCAAAGATAAGTCATTTCCCCAAACAGGAGGTCGTTTGTATTTTGAAATCATAGTCTTAGACAGAGCCAAACCTTTCAAAATTTTTCTTTTCTTTTTATGATACTGGCTTAATTTTAAGGCTGATCCCTGCCCAAATGTCATGGGTTCAGTCCCCATGTAGGCCACTTAGCTTTGCCACTACTTCAGAAAATACCTCTAATCCCTAGCCAGTCATCTTCTAAGTATCTGCCCTTGGCCTTAGGAGAGACCAGAGAAAGTTTGACTATTCTGCCAGTGGGTTAGTAGCATGGACTTTATATTAGGAGGACAACAAATACTAGTTAATTTGTGCCCTTTCTCCTTCTTTACTCCTTTCACCAAAGGTATCCCCTACTTTTCTAGAAAAATGCCTCCCTTGTGCCAAATTTTCGTGATTTTCTTTGGTTATGAAATGTCAGTTCACAAGAAGGCCAAAAACAGCAGATCTGTATTTGAAATCTAAATTGTCTCTGGTCCTTTCTCTTAAGAGAGAGAAATCTAGTCTTTTTTTCTATATTTTTCTGAAAATGAATTGTGCTTACTTCCTGGGATTGGAGTGGGGAGTTTGCAGTCCTACCGAATACTCAGCAGACTCCATTTTTCAGTTGTTTTTTAAAGGCACATTTGGGCTCTTCATTAAGGACAGTACACATGTATAATTTGTTTAACATTAAGTCAATGGCTATAGTATTTTAAGTTTTTTTTAATTAAAAAAATTTTTTTTTTTTTTAGTATTTTAAGTTTTAAAAAACTAGTCAGAACCATTGAATAACTGTCTCTAAAATCCCTCAACTCTCACCCCTTTTTTCTTTGCCAGTTTATAGAGTTTGACAGCAGTGTCAAGAGCTGATGAGGAGGAGAAGATGGAAAGGAGTCTAGCATCCTAAAAATTTCATAGCATTCTCTGTAATGTGGCCCTTTTCCAGTTGGTGTCTCCATTTATTTAAAAGATAAAGAAGATACTGAGGCCTGGGAGACCTGTCATCAAATCAGATTTGAGTTTACTGAAATGTTGTTCCCTTTTCTTCTATTCTTCACCTTACTTTGGATCACTTTGTGAAAATGAAAACCAGTTATTTTCTGTTGTTAGTTTAAATGACATATGATCAGCATAAATTGTTAAAAATGACTCCTAAACAGTGGGAGCCAGAGGGAAAAAGGACCATGTTTGTATCTTGCTATTGGCTTGTATTAGCAAGCTTGAGGAGATGGTTAGGGAGAATGAGTTTGATGACTCTCCTTTGTTGTACTTTTATTGATTTGAGGGTTTTGTAAAGCTTTTCCAAATCTAGCTAAAAACATACATTTGCTTTCATTGCTGCCAGGTGCTAACAAGTACCAGGTGTGTGGTAGCTGTGACTTAACAACTTTCAGTATTTCAGGATTGCTATGAACCAGGTGTGCAGAGATGATGTAAACAAGACTAAATATTTGCACTTTGTAAACAAAAGTAAATTATTTGTAAGCCAATAATGCTTAGTCATTAGCGTGTGAAATGAATATTAAATACTCAATCAAGCATATTATGCAAAATAATACTTAAAATGTTTCTACTCTCATTGCCAAGAGATACATTAAAGAGGTCTTTTTAGTGTACAGGTAGATGTAATTTTGGCCTGTCCTAACCTGAACTCCAGAGAGCTTCCAAAATATCACTGATGCTCATTACTTCTCTGTGCCTTTCAATGCTGTGTTGTAGCTGAGAATTTATTAACTTAACTAGGGCAATTTTATCTTTTTCACCTATAATCAACCTCTGGCCCAGAATTGTCCACGCTCTAATTTGGCTGTGAATACCTTTATACCTTAATCCATTCTGTCTTTTGGGCAGCTTCAGTCAGAATATTAACTTTATTGGAACTCAACACCAAAACAATTCCTAGGCTAATGCTCCATTGAGCAAATTCCTTCAGAAGTGTAGACCCTCAAAAATGGGCATTATTTAAGTCAGAGTTGTATTCCCTTTGCTTATATGGACACTTCTCTTACAGGTTTTGCCAGAACTGCTCTATCTGTGCTGCTTCCCTCATAATTCCCTTTTTTCTCACAGTGTTTATCAGATGTATACCTTACTGGGCCAAACACATCTTTTCCTTTAGCAGAGCAGATGAAATATATGTACACACAGACACACACACACTCATACACAGATACACATATATGCAACAATGTATCTGTTAACCAAATATAATAAAATAGACACAAAATTGGAATTTTGTCACACCTTGCATGGGCTGAAATAGACTGTTCTGGCAGGTCAGCTATCCCTTAGTGATTTCAGAAAAAAAACACCTCATCAGTTTGAATCAAGTTGCTAATGATGTGTAAGTTTGGGGTCAAATAGGTGATTGATTTTCACACTTCTGATATATTCTCCATTGTCATGGATGTGGTAACAACCTATTGGAAATGAGGGGCTGATAGAAGCGGACTTAGCTTTAGAAATTACCAGAGTGTGTACTTTTTGCTACTGCTTCTAGTCTTAGGGCTAGAACAGCCCATGGGTGTTATTTGGCTATATTGACATTAGGTTTACTGAGCACCCAAGAAAGGAGATGAATTATTTTCCTGTGTCAACCTCCCTGGGGCAGTTTGCTTGCTGATAGAAGTAGAACAGCTATGCTGTAAGTTCCCAGGACAGTTTTGTGCTTCTGAGAAAGTTCTCTCTAGTTCTGAGCTCTCACTATACTTTGTCTTCAGCTCTCATGCTCAAAGATGCCCTTAAGATCATCTACACCAATAAGTTCATTAGATACTCATTGGACTGAGTAATCTTGAGTCCATCTTAGCTTTCTGATCAGCCCAGTAGACCTCTGGGCTCTGCCACTAGTCATTGCACCTCTTGTGGTTAAGAGTTGGACTAGATGATTCCTAAGGTCCTTTCCAGTTCTAATGTTATTTCATTGTTCCAAATCTCTGAGACCTATTATTAGGCATCAAATTGGAATAGTTTACCTAAATAATATATCTCTACTCTTAATTCAGAAATCCTTTCATTGGAATGCTTAACAATTATCACCATTAGCATTCTAAATTGAATTGGTGAGTTAAGAATTGGCTCTTGGCTCATTTTTAGTGGATCATAAGTTATTTCTGTTTTATATTTGTATATGTGTACATATAAATATGTTAGTATGTATATGGACTTTTAAAGTATATACATGGGGGCAGGTAGGTGGCGTAGTAGATAGAGCACCTGCCCTGAAGTCAGGAAGACCTGAGTTCAAATCCAGCCTCAGACCAAACACTTGACACTTACTAGCTGCGTGACTTTGGGCAAGTCACTTAACCACAATTGTCTTTTTAAAAAAAAAATAAAGTATATACATAGAATTGGTTGTGAATGTAGTACTGATAGCTAGGGAAAATTAGGGAAAAGTCCTTCCTCAACTAACTACTCAAAAGTGAGGAATGATTTTCAACAATGTTTTGAAACAAAAGTCTACTTAGATATAATTAAAGCAAAAGCATCTAGTAAGAAACAGTGAATTATTCTGATTTTTGGGTCAATGTTTTCTATTTTTTCCAAGATATTTTCAGGAATAAACATTTTATGGTTCTTGGATATTAAGGGGTCTAAGAAAATACTTTTAAATTCCTATCCCCTCACCCCCCAATAAATGTGCAATAAGTTCTTGTCCTACATTTCTTTTCAGGAGGGGATTTTGATGTAGAAAGAAGACTCGTTGAATAAAACGAATATTCGATAATAAACATTCAGAGCTATAAACAATGCCAATACCCTCTATTTAGTTAATGATAGTTATTTGCTTGTATTCCATCCTTTGATGCTATTTACAGGATCATGTCATTAGAAATTCAATAAGGGATTTTTGAGAATAGGGCCATTTCTTTATCTTTTAATGTTCCATTTTCATCATAGAATACATATATCTTAATTAAGAAAACAAATTCAGCTTTTTCAAGAGTAGTAGTAATAAAGTTAAATAATAGTTTAATAGGGACAAGTGTATTGCACATTATCTTATCTCATACCATATACTTGGTGCTTTCCATTTGGAGTCTTCTTTCAAAGCACTTATGCAAGACTATGAACAGTAACCTCTGGCCAGCAGTGACAAAAGTCCCTTGTCCATCTTAAGCTACTCTGGAAAATAAGAATGTGCTTTCTCGTTTCTAATTGGTTGCTCTGATTAGAAGGTCTTATTCACTGTCCATGATCCTGGTTATGAATTCTCTGGTGTTTGGTGGGTTCCAGAAAATGTTAGACTTAAATGCACATCTCTCTGAAGCCCTCGCTTTATGTTTGGGCTTCACATGTTGCTTTTCTGCTTCATCAGGCATGGAGCCAAACTGACTTCCCAGTAGTCCTTCCTGTATTATACCAGCTCTCCAAAGACCAAATACTTCTCCCTGGTAGTTGGCTCACTTCAAATTTCACCAATATTGTAATAATATAACTTTAAGACCTTTTCAATAAAGGCATGTCTGGCTTTAGACATGATCAATAACAATTTTATGATTGTTTTAAAGTACTGCAAAAGGATTTTCCTACTACTACTATAAAGGTGTATTTAAGAATTATACTTAATGTATTTTTTCATATCTGCAAGGTGAGGTATATCTCCTCGTCTCTAAAAGAGCAATTCATTCTTTAGCAACACATCTAGGGTCAGCTCCCTATTAAGTTTTCAGTAATATGCTTAGATTATTTTTGGAATGAACCCAAGCAGAGGAAAAGATGTAGTGCACCTAATGATCTTCCATATAGCTTTGGGAGTAATTACTTGGGAGAAACAGAACCAGAGAGAAATAGTACTTTTTGTTGGCTTCCCATTGTGTGTACCAAGCCTGAAGCAGTAGGATTTCAGTCTTAGAACATATCAAGGTTGGGAATAGATAATGACGTATGACTAGAAGAGTTACTTTAATCACTGTGAAGGAAGCACTTTAAAAGAAATATTTCAGTTAAAGATTTTTTATTAAAGGAGAATGTATATGTGTTATTTCCTACCCAAAAAAAAATGGACATTTAAAAACTTTATTTCTTTTTTCTGCTAAGTCAGTGATTCATTCTGAAAGAACTTTAAACTTCAGGAAACAAATTGAAATTAAAAAAACAACAACACCCTAAGTATCTGCTGTATGCTTGAGCTCTCAAGATAGCTGGCTATCTTCCTCCACTTCTAAACAAAAATGAATTCAACAAATTTCGAGTTCCTCTTCTAAGAGTACTCTGTTAGATGCTGGAGAGAAAAAAATAATTTAGATAAGAAATACCTTCACCTTTGTGGAGTTTATAGTCAGCAACAGTTAACTTTAAAACATAATATTACAACATTAGGGAGATGAAAAGTGTTATGTGAAATTTGAGGGAAAAGGTCATTACTGACCTGTGGGAAGGATGTTGGAGTTAGCTTGGGATTGAATTGTAAAGGATGGATTTAATAGGTACAGTGAAGGAAAACGTTCCCCGACACGAGACAATGGTATGACTAAAGACAGAGGCAGGGAAGTACAAGGTGTGTTAAAAGACTAGAGTCCAGTTTGGCTAAGGTACACTCTAGAGCAGTGGTCTCCAAAGTAGCAGGGTGCAAGATGGTCTGTTGAGGTGTATGAAGAAGATAGATCTGGAGAGAGGTACTGTGTGCTACCTGCCGCTGCTACGCCTGCTTTGGGCTGTGTTAGATGGTCAGTCACATAACTCCTTCCCAGTCTCAGACCCTTCCCTCTGCCTGCTGTGCTGGACTTCGTTGGACAGTACTTACCAGGCAGACAGCCAAGCAGTTCTTCTTCACCCACCCCGGCCCTTTTCTCTGCTTGCTGGATAGTTCAGACCACAAAGATGTTTCTGTCAGTATCACTGCCTAGGGCAGTTGACTTACATAATTATACTGATATAAGTGGTATAATTTGAAGTACAGTTGTAATGCATGTAGTGAGGTGCATTAAATTAAGAAGCTTTGTGTTTCCAAGAAAACTCCCCAGGCAATCATACCTTGATTCCCACCAAGGCTCTTTTCTTCACTCTTCCCTTTCCTCCACCAACTGCCACCCCCACCCCAGGAGAACAAGGGAGGCTTGAGCTATCTGGGAAGAAGCTGTGGCAAGGAGAGCCCAGAGAAGCAGGCTTTTTGAGAGGCAGCAAATATTGCTGCCAGTAAGCTTGAGACTCAAGTAGCTAAGCACAAAATGCTCTCAGGTCTGCAGCCCCACTAATTCCCTGTCTCCCCCATCTACCCCTCCACCCCACTGGATCGCATGGAAACAAACGAAGAGAGCCATCTACCACCATGAAACCTGGACCTACTTGGGCATCTTGGCATCTGCCTTGCCACTGCTCCTTTCTTCCCCTCTACAGCTACATTCTGGACCTGGGATCTGACTTCCAGAGACTGTCCCCTCCCCAACCCTTCCTTATATGTGGAAGATGGAAATTTATTAGCCAAATTTCAACAAAAACCTTTGTAGAATTGGTGGATGGGACTGAAAAATGAGTACTGTGATTTAGTAAGAGTAGCCAATGATGCAACTCTCCCATTTGGATCTTCATAGCTCTCTGAGGCAGTTTTTTTCAGCTATAACAACCATTAATAAAGTCAAGTATCAGAAAAAAAAAACTGAACTTAGAACCAGACCTTCAAATTGCTGTATCACAAAAGCTTAAAACAAGATCTTGCAAAATAGTGAAGCATATTCAGTCATATCACTATCACTAAAAAATGTTATATTTTTAGTGAGAAGAAAAAGTTTTTGTGACATTAATAAAATGGAAATTAAAAAAATATTGTTTATTTCATCTTTATCTCATCCTCTGTATGTTTTATAATGTACGAAATATAAAACAGTATATGTATATAATTTATAAATAAATATACATATATTGGTGGTTCATGCTCAAAGAAATGTTTTCTTTTTACTGATAGGATATGTGATCCAAGAAATTTGGAGACCAATGCTGTAGAGCACATACAAGAGAAAAATGTGAGAGAAGCCTGGAAAGGTAGAGGTGCCAGATTGGGGAAGACTTTGAATGCCAGAAATCAGTCTTTACTCAGGAGCAGTAGGTAGCCGTTGGAGATTTTTCCGGAGATTTTTCAGCAGAAGAATTATGTGACTAGATCTGTGCACATGGAAAATCTAGTGGTGAAGGATGGGGGTAGCAGGGGAACGGGTGAGAGTACGCTAACGTCCACCCTACAACTTTCAGCCATATCTGAAACCATTTCTAATTAATTATCATTGTTCAGACTTTTCTATTTCTCTGCTTTCTGCTCCCTACCCCCCAATCCAACCACACAGGATTCTGGAAGACTTAGTAAGATAAACATTTAAGGATCCCTTTCATCTCTAAAACTGATTCTGCAATTTAAAGGCTAACTGATAGTACAAGTACAACCCAATCAGCGTAGTTAATTAACACTGTATATTAAACTAGGAAATTCCCTTGATTTAATTTGCACTTGAGGATAGTTCAAGTCACCTCACTGGTGATATTAGAAAGGAAAAACCTAACACTTCACAGGTAATTGAGACCTATTTAGGATGATTGCTATTGATTTAGAAACATAAATCTGACTTTAAAATTGAAGCTAGATTTTAGGGGAGGCTAGAATGGAGGTTATTGTACCCTGCTAAAATAAAAGTTTACCAATGTGGAGAAAATGGAAAACAAGTGAATAATTTTGTGCTAAAAAGGTGTGGAGAACTGCTTTGTTTTGGCTTGAAAATTAGCTGCCAGCAGAAAAGTACCATTCCTCTTCTCACTGTAACTATCTCATTAGCTATAACTAGGATCTAGATTGTTGCCTCTGCCTCATCCATCTTTTCACACCTCTTTTGGGTGGAAGTCTTACCCACATTGGCCATCAGCCATATCTTACCCTAACCTTGCTAAATCAGTGAGGGCTTGTCAACATAACACTATTAAAACTCCCCTAGGCCTCAGTGGTCTAGGTGTAGAGCACTGACAGTCCCAAGAAATAATAACATGTGGAGAACTGGGGAGAAGGGGAAGGAACACTGCCTTCAAGAGGTGGTTTCTAGCTCTTTTTAGGGACTAGGATTTTGGGGGCAGTTATTTGAATTGGTAAATGGATATCATCTGTGGCTTCTCAGGCCCAGGGATTTAGGGCCTTTTGAACGGGAAAAATTATTGAATGGTTAAAGTCTCTTGTTGAAACCCAGCCTGGAGTTTCGCTGCAGTTCCTGAAAAGCTTTGGTTTCTAAACTGGATTTCAGCATTTCCCAGCAGAGAATTTCTTGTTAACAT